CAATATAATGACTTCTCTCACGGTGACGTTCATGACGCCATCTAAACCGCGCCGCCCCCAGCCATCGTGATCACTGCCCCAAATTACGAAACTTTTCCTGACTGAACCCCTATGGATTGGGAAAAATGAGAATCTCCATAGATTCGAATGCAATCAGCGGAGTTGTATTTGGTTTAGTTTAACTAAGGATCTGATTGGCTTTCTGTAATTATGAAAACCTGACTGGTACAAATCGTTTTCAGGATGTACTCGACGTACAGCGACGACATGACGTTCTGGGAACGACTGAATAACTTCAAGTATGAGATTGAGTTGGATTTTCATTACCGTAACTGGGAACGGGAGCTTTGGACGCATTTCAACGACGTTTATCCGGGGTTTCCTGATTTCCGCGAACTGCTTAAGGTAGGTCTGTCTCACTGATTGTTGATGAAGAAGCCCACAGTTGGGTCAAAGGTTGGTTACAGCGGAAAGTTGGAGTGGTGTTGTTAAACATCAACGAGTTCACAGAAACACCTCGTCCTACGGCGAACATTGTCCGATACATCGGCGGACTGGCAGTTCATGCACCCAAACAATTAGAAAAGGTAAGGTCTCTTTCATCTACAGAAAATGAGCGGTTTCCCAGTAAGTGCAACGAAATGCATGCAGACTGAGGGTTTCAGCGTCTGCCTATGGTGCTGCTAAAGAGGACACGGGACGATCATTGCCAGTGAATTCAATAGTTCTTCCCAGAATTCACTCACCCACTAGTTTCCTAGAATTTTTTCACATAATCTGCCTCGGGGCAGACTTTGCAGACTTTGTGAAGAAATTAACCCACACTCACTACCTGTGAGAGCGTCACGTACCCACACCATTACAGAACAACATACCAAAATTGCCTGATTTACCCTGTATTGCCGAGCACAACTGGAAGGAGAGTAGTCACATGGGCATTCCGAAATTCGAGCAGAGAAAAAGATAGATGCTCGTTCTTTTTGCCTTCGAAAAGAACCATTTGGAATTGGCTCGATGTAGAGGTTACGTTGTGGATCGTTCCTGGTCATTTCCTTCACATTCTCAGTGGTCCCTACATTCTGTTGTGGTACTACAGACTTATACCTGCTCTATACACTATGAAAGTAGAAGTTTTAGAATCTTGATGCTGTTCTCGATAAGCGAAGTTCCAACGTTCTTCTTTCATTCGGCACCATTTCTCGATCCAAGGATATGCCATTATGGCTCAAAAAAGGTATGAGTGGGAGTTCATTAGACTGAAGGAATCGTGCAGGGAAACTTGTCGCTTTCTTCCCACTTAGATGCATCATGTGTAATGCGACGTACAAAGCTTTACGTATGAAAATTCAATTACCTTGAAAGAAATGCTCTCTTTGGTACCACGCTTTATGGACGCTCTGCTGACACCTGGGTGGGTCCATAGGAGTGTGTGGCAAAGCTCACGGTGATGTGATCACGTGCAAGAAGTCAAACTCATTCCCAGAGTTTGCCATCAAATCCAGAACGCCCAAACGCGATACCGAGGATGGCATGAAGGAGTAAAATGTTCCTGCCACAGGTAGGGTCAGAAGGCCAGAAAAATTCCATTGACGACATTCCAAGAAACAAATGAAAGCCTCTCCACCGTCAACACTTGCAGCAGTTGTGTTGTTGTAATTTACAGCATGACTGTTTCCTTACTTCCGGAATCGTGCTAGGAAGGCCACTAGGAATATTCCCAGGAGAGCAATTCCGGGGAGAATTGCTTACGCACCTCAGATTTCCTCTTCTCCTCTGAGGCTTACTACTAAAAATGAGCGTTTCCGTGAAGCTGACGCAAGGTTACTATCTGCGCCCCCCCCCCTCCCAGCCACATTGTGTCATGGTTTTTTTGGTATAACCAATGCAATTTTTTCAACGTCTTTTTGTTCTCATCATGGATGATGGGTATCAATCCTCTTCCCAAGTACTACGAATGATACAACCATGCGGTTCCCGTGTTAATTCAGAACAATTGGAAATCGTAGTGTCTTTTATGCATTTTATTTATTCAGATATAGTTCACGCGTTCTCCTCTTTCCCGAATACGACATTCATATGGAAGTACGAGGACGAAAATGATTCACATTTGTTCAAAGATCATCCGAATATTTATGCTATGAAGTGGGTACCTCAATCGGATCTTTTGGGTAAGATGTTCTGACTTTTGCTCCTGCTTTCAAAAGTGTGCTACTCTAGTACTTCCTAGTATTGCTATTAAATTTTTATGTACATTCACCTTCTTAACAGTCTAGCTGCAGGTCTTCTTCTCCCTAGCGTTAGTCCCGCGCAGTCGCAGGGTCCGCTGTCTTTGTCAGTCGTCGCCACTTTGCTCTGTCCAGGGCATCTTCTGCTGTGGCCATGACTTCACTTAGGTCCTTCTTGATCACGTCTCTCCACCTCTTCTTTGGGGCTCCTCGCGGTCGCTTGCCTTGCACTTCGAAGTCCATCGCTTTCTTATCGGATGATCCTGTGGCCTCCTTAGCACGTGCCCATACCATCGCAGACGCTGTTCCCTACCTTCAGCTGGACAGGGGCAGTCTGCATGACCGCTCTGACATCCTCGTTTCTGACCCTGTCCAGTCGCGTCCAGCCGCAGGCCCATCTCAGCATCCTCATCTCAGCGGAGTGAAGCTGCCTTTCGTGATTCTTGTTCAGGGGCCAGCACTCGCTGCCGTATAGCATCGCAGGCCTTACCACTGTCCGGTACACCTTCCCTTTGAGCGTTCTGGAGCACCTTCGATCGCAGAGGATTCCAGTGGACTCCCTCCATTTCATCCATGCCGCGTTGATTCGTGCCTTCACTGCCTGATCCACACTTCCGTCGGCTGCCAGATCGCTCCCGAGGTATCGGAAGTCCTCCAACTTTTCGATGGTCTCTCCATGGCCGTCCACGATCGATGCCTTTCCTCTTCAGGAGCTCAGGAACTTGGTCTTCCGGACATTCAGCCGAAGCCCACCTTTCTGCCAGGACTTTCCTGCCATTTCTGCACCTTGCCCTGTAGTTCTTCTCTACTATCCGCTATCAGGGCGATGTCGTCAGCGTAGATGATGGTCTTTTAGTCCCTCCATGAGCCCCTTCACCAAGACATCTAGTCGTAATAGAGGAAGGAAGAGAAGGGGCCCAGAGGATCAGCTAGCCTCACAGCCACATACGATCGCTGCTCTATTGCAAAGCGGAGACATTGTGCCACGTTTGAGGCCGACTCCGGGGCTGATGGCTTGTTGCTCGCATAGCGTGGAGTTTAACAGCCGTCACCGCAAATGTTCCCTAGCTTTTGACTCCTTTCGCCATCTCGATTTCTCCTATAAGGCCATTGCTTGAAATGTTTTGGGGCGTTTGGCATATTTTGGAATCAGACAACACTTCGGGAACCTTCCGTCAGCGTACTGTATTCGGAGTCCCAATTCGAACTATGTAGCTTCTTTGGCCGAGGCCGTTCCCTCCTCGGTAGCCCTCGCATACTGACCACAGAACTCGGGCGGGGGTTCTGCGCGCCACTTCCGGGTGACGTCCTAGCTTTATCACTGATTCTTTTGCGACTTTTAGACATGTTTGGTGTGACTGGGGTGTTCATCAGCCGGCCTGTCAACCTGGGCCTGACGCTGGTACTAGAACCATTTTTGCAATTTTTGCAAGGCATGGTTAACCTCGGCAGGGATCGAACTCGCGGTTTTCAGAGGTGCAGACATGAGTCTAACCTCTTAACCACTCGGCTATCCCTGCCTTCAACAGTCTAAGTACATGTACAATACCGTACTGTGTTGGATCTGCCTGTAGGTATCGATATTCTGTATCTTTTCAGGTGATAGAAGACTGTCCGCGTTCATCACTCACGCCGGTATGAACTCTATCCTCGAAGCGACGTTCTCTGGCAAGCCACTGGTGGTAGTACCGTTGTTTGGAGATCAGTATATCAACGCAAGAAACGTGCAGCGAAGAGGAACGGCAGTGATGATCGATAGGAATGAACTTAACAAGGAAACTTTGACTGCTGCAATTCGTGAAGTGCTTTCGGCGAATTCGTGAGTGACTTGCCTTGTTACGAGAAAAGCGTACTTATTACTTACCCCTTCAAAGGCGTAGTTACGATGAAAGGCTGCCCATAGAGATAAAGGTGAATGTGAACAAAGACGCAGGAACAAGAAAAAGCATGAGGAGCGGCCCAGAACCCGAGGAATGAGGTTCCATCTTCTAGATTTTTTTCATCGGTGCTGCCCACTTCAACGCTGACGCTCTCTCTGCTAGACGGCTAGAGTCGGACGGCGAGGGGCTTACCATCGGTGGGCGCTCAGCAAGGCAAGCGGTGCGGGAACAGCCCTGCTAGGCCGCTGGGAGCATATACTTCGCCGCAAATGCACATCGCTCTGCACCAGCAGGGGGGAGCGCGCTTCTCTTCCCACTTGGTACAGCATATTTCCCTTCTTCGACCTCCAACCGCGTCGTGGAATCATCCTCTGAGGTGCGCCCCAAGTTCGACCACGCTTTGAAATCGTTCCTCTTCAATGGTTACCTTTTACATGTGATGGCTTGCGGGGTTCTTCATTTTGAATTCGTATAACTTCGTATAATCGAAAAACTTGTAGTGCCATCATCGCTCTTTAGCCACAGAAAGTCATATATACTAAAGCACTTGGGCAATACTGATGGGTCAGTGAGCAAAGTAGGCACGAACAGCGTGGACCTCTGGATTGTCCTGCATAGTGATCTTGTGGTGTGGTGATATCGTATTTTGCGGGGGAAGTTCAACATATCAAAATGTTTAAGGCAGTGATGCGCATCGAGCCGCCACAGTGCCACATGATGTCGCTCGAAGGACGGGCAGCTGCTGCACGAGCTGAGCTTTGAAGTGGGTGAAGTCTGGTAGCCGAAGAGGGCCAAATGGATCACCTGATGCTACGTTCAAGAGATTTCTCATTGATAGAGTACTACTGTTTAGACATCATTGCATATTTGTTGACTCAGTTTGTGGCCATTCTGTACATAATGTTCCTTGTTGCAAGATTCCTCTCCAGACGGATAGCTCTTGTCTTCCGGAAGCGAAAACTTGAATAATAACATCCGCTGGCTATTTCGTCACACGTGCCAGAGGGCTTTCATTCTTTAACCATAAAATTTTATCACATCAAGGGTAGCACGCAATAGAGCACCAGTAGAAAAAGATACCCGCTCGGTACAAGAAGCGCAGAAGAGGGTCATTAAACGTACACTGCTCTTGGTCGAAATGACAAGATTGGTCAATCTCCCTGTGAATTGTGAGGCCACATGACTTTAAGGGGCAGCGACACGATGGCTAACGGTTCCCGACGGGTTTGGTGGCGTCAATAGCGTGATCGATTGGAATTAGTCAGGAGGTGGTCCCAACCATCGCTCGCGAAGGAGGCTGGTATACTGTAATGTCTGGTGACGTCATTGTAACCGCTCCTCCCTTCACCTTTGTGTTCACTGCCTTTAAGTTTTTTTTTCAGGAAACGGAAGTAAGAATAAGAGCGCTAAACACTTCCGCTTTCCTCAACAACACTTCAACGAATATTTTATTTTCAAGAGGGACTGACACACGTATCTATTCACAAGGCAGCGTCGATCACCACGGCTGCGTAGAACACATCGATCATCGACTGTCGCACTACCCACATCTCTGTAAAGATTTCTTTTCTTGCAGTATCAGATACACACGGCCTTTCTACAAAAGCCTTATTTGCCACAATCCTTTGTTGAGCAAGGACGGCCCTCGAAAGGGGAAAGGCTAGAAACATCTACCGTCCAGGCTGCATTCATACTTTGCGCCGCTACGGACGTGCGGGCACTGCGAAGAGCGTCAAAACGTGCACTGGCGCATCACGCGCCTGCGCCAAGTATGGGAGCAGACTAACTGTTCGTCGTCTCAACCGTTCGACCTCGTTTCCCCCACCCAACCCTATATTCCATGCAATGCCGAGTTCCTCCTTCACGTTTTTTGAGAATCGTGGAGAAGAATGTGTACGTATTCCTCAGAAGAACCGCTAAATCGCCGATTTGTCGGTTCGTCAAAACGCTCATAGTATGAGACAGTCAATCGAAACGCACAGAGTTTTCAGAAAGTCGCCAGAGGTCTCAAATGTGAGCTATGACTGCGCCTAAACGATCAAAAATGCTCTCGTTAACTTACCCAACAACTGCTCCCGGTTAGTAGGCTTCGACATCATCGTAATCTGGCCTCCTGAAATCATGGAAGTTCCCGTTAGCGTTTGAATCGCGGTAACCATTGTATCTACAAAACTAACAATCAGTCAAACTATGGCTGACGCCAATGGATGCACTTACTTTTGAGGGTTCGTCAAGTCCTCGCCCATGAGCGAGTAGTACAAGCCGACCGGGAACCTCCTGGAAATTACTAGATTAGCTGGTCGTACACAGAGCACCTTGCAGGTGAAATTTGCTTCTGAACAAACGACAGGTATAGACTTTCTTTTGAACTCTCCTTTTCTAAGCAGGAAGACACACGTGTTTGTATTGGCACAGCTCAAAGGTGAAGGACCATCAAAATACTGGTTGAAAAACTGTGAATTCGAGATAAAGGGGAGGGCGTTGTGCATAAGAGGTCACGTTGGGAAAAGTGTTGCTTCTCCTTGCGACAGTTTTCCGGTTTTTCGCCCCCAGGACTTCATCTTCAATGTCAACTCGCTGCTGGGCGCGAGAGAGAAAAGGTACTTCCCAAATGGGACAAAACGCAAGTCTCCTTTACCCGGATTGGTTTTTGGTTTTAATGGCATGGCTGGAGTTTTGATTTAATGGTCAAGTTCTTAGCTTGTCCCAGGAAATGCCGCGGTAGCCAAGCGAGGAGCAGTATTCGTTCGGGATGATAATGACAACACCGGGAGAAAGGCACAAGGAATGCGAACTGTTCCGCCTAATACCAATGACGTCCGCCCAACAAACCGTTCATTGACTGACTCTGCTAAAACGAAAAAGATTTATTTTCGTTCTTTTGGACGGCGTCTTCCCATTCTTTACTGAAGTTGACTTCGCGTCTCCAGTATCACTCACAAGCGTAATAACGCATCAGTTTGATCCTGAACTTTGCCTTTGATCGAGGCTAGCTGCCCTAGGGAGAACACCAAGCGGGCAGCGATGTCGATACAGCGAGTAGTAAATAGCATTAGATGGAGGAAATCGGAAAGGCACTAATTTCCGTCAATCTTGTCGCCTTGGATAATTCACTGATCGTTTTGTTACTGGTGGGATCGGGATCACCGAACCCTTTCATAGATAGTAACAGCCAATATCCTGAAGCCTAGATTATATGACTTCCTTAATCACAATCTCATACTCGGGAATTTAATTATTTCAAATTTCTTCGCCTTTATTTGGAACAACTATTCCGACGATTGTGCATAGTTCGGGACAGTGTAGCGATTGGGTGAGAGGCACGTTACTACTCCACGTCCTTTATGTAGACCTAGGGCTCCTCTCCCATGGGTCTCATGAAGTCCAGAGAACGAAACAGACTTTCCCAAGGGTCTTCCAGGAGTCCATTACGCCAACAACCTAGAGAACCTACAAAGAACACTTACGTCAGAGCAAAATTCGAGTCTGTTTTGGCATGAGACGTGAGTATTAGTCTGAGGAAATGGAATTTGCATTGCTAACCATATGCCATTTTTGTGTCGATGACGTATCCACAAAAACATCCCCTTGGACCAAACAAGATCTGCTGTCCCTTCGTTAATGATTACCCAAGTAAGTGCAACATGAAAAGAGAAATATGCGCTGCAAAGGAGTAAATTTGCTTGATCTGTTCTTCGGAACAAAAGGAGCCTCTTCGTTGACAAATCTCGCACCCTTTGGACCTACAGACATGAAAGCTATGATGTGATTTATTTGAAACCACCCTTTGCACACAATTTAGCTCGACGCGGGGTCGCTTTGGCATGGACGAAACTCGACCCTAGCGCGACGTGACGATGTGTTTGTTAAAGCTTCAAAAGCACGGTTAGCAAGCTGATTGGGGTGTTTTTTTTTGGAAATTCTAGCGGAAAGGAGCGTTTGAGGGTGAAAAAAAGCAAAAGGTGCCATGGAAAACACTGACATTTTTTAGTTGAGGTCGATTGTACGATGTAGAGAAACAGGGCTGCAAGAGAGAGAAATCGCTTGAGAGCCCTTCGTACACGAGAGGGCGCAGACGCCACATATGCTGCGATTGACAAGAGGGTGCGGTCGCAACGATAAAACACAGGCATCAGACCTTTGTCGCGCAGTTTCAAGTCGCCCCTGTGATTAGGGATCCCGCTGCACTCACCCAATGAAAAAATTTCTTTATGGAGTTTATCGCTACCCGTGCCCTTAAGTGTGTATGATATGAAATAATGGCTCGACCGCAGAACCAAGGGTCACTCCCTATGGGTCATAAAATGGTTGTGATCAAATGAGCTCGGTGTAGAGGTGCAGTAAGTACCAGGTGAAACTGCTTTGGAACATTGCTACAAAGTGTAGATTTTACGAAACCACGCATAATCAGACTCACTTTACTCGTCGGTCTTTGTATGTCCGAGCCGAGTTGTAGAAGTCGCTGTTAAATCGCCTAAAATAAATTCATTGAATAGCCGGTATTTGAGTGACTGAGTTATATAGTTTGATAGGGAGTTATGTGTCTTGGAGTTGCATAGTTTGATACTGCCGCTCCGGGTTGTGAACGATGTTATCAGATGGACTATCACAGTAGCAACAATGCCGAGGTTCCACGAAAAGAGAAGTTAGATTTTCATCAGAGTTTGTGGCTATGGCACCGAGGTTGCCGCTACGACTCGTTCGGCAACTGTCACTACGGAGTGCCATTTTTAGTGCACTTTGAGCAGCACTACTGATCGTGAGTTGCCGAAACCGTGGCCTTACCAAGTCGACAGATCGCTAACCCACCAATTTCCTTTGAAGTCATTTATTTCACTATAGCCGATTTTCCTGAGTCAGAAGCCCGGATGGTCTGAATGGAAGCAGGTGCAGCGATAACCTAATGAGCTCACCGAATTTCTTCAGGTGGTACATAAGCCTTGCGGAACGTGCAGGTGGATTCTATAGAAAATGCTGGGCATTACCGTACCGTAACTAGAGCCGAGGTATTGACACAGGTGCAAGAATGTCCATGAAGATAACTCACTTCGTAAGCTCAAACAGTGGCAGTACTTAGTCATTGTCATAATTAATGAGACTAACACAAAATGAGGGCGGAAGTGGTGTAGTGGCAAGTGGCACGCTTACCACGCGGGATCAAATCCTGGGTCGTGAGTCGCCCGGGCCAACCAAGCCTTCCATCCCTCCGGGGTCGGTTAATTGGTACCAGACTTGTCTGGGAGGATAAAAACACTGACTTGTACATCGGCTGGCCCCCGCAAGTCATTGTATAGGCCACTACGAATGTACAAATGGAAGTAGAATGCGTGCCGCATCCCAAAAAGGGATTGATCAACGGCAAATGCTTTTTTATGCTTTAACACAAAATGATGAGTAAGCAGGTGACAGAAAGTAACATAAGCAAGTGAGCGAGGATGCGGTAAAGACGAGAAGGATAGTATAACAATCTAAGGATTTTCGTAGAGATTGGGGTCATTGAATGATTTGCTTAGGGTGTAAAGTGTTCATATTTATTTCAAAGTAATATCCACCTACAAAAAATATGGCTACTTGGGTTCGTGATTGATTCTCAGTGTCATAGGCCTTATATGAGAAGATGAAAAAATAGTAAGAAACGGTGGAACTACGCGATGGCCTCCTCTTCATCGCGATCTAACGACATTTACCCGGCATACAGCATAGAGGAGAATGCGTGTTGGGTCTGTGTTTATAACGACCGAGGACGAGCATCTGG